TTTGCGGTAAGATCGGTCATTCCACTCCTCGCTGTTTTCGTCGCCTGGACGACCTGTTCCGTCAGCGCTTTGGCCCGTCGCCCGACCTCCCGGACTGGCACAGTTTGCTTAGGCGTAGTATTCAGATTTTTGACTTGGACATGGATGCCATTGTAGCCGCCCTGCATGTGATGTATGCTGATGACTCTAGTGTGCTTCCTTCTTATTACCCCGTGTTGCCTAGTGTAGGTGTGCCTAGCGTAGACTCCCCTGCTGCGTCAGGCGTAGGATCTCCTGCTTTGTGTAGCCTCGGTGCTTCCACCGCTTCTCCGCCGCCAGGCGCCACTGCTGCACTTTCCTTCACCTTGGACTCTGGCGCTTCCCGATGTTTCTTCCGCGACTCCACTACGCTGACGCCGCTTCCTGTTCCTGCTGCCGTTTCTCTTGCTGACCCCTCCGGTGGTCCGGTCGTAGCCCGCAGTTCCACCTCCCTTCCCTGTCCGGCGGTTCCTTCGGGTTCGCTCACAGGCCTGCATATCCCCTCGTTCTCCAGGAACCTAGTTGGTGTCGGCTGCCTCCAGGACCTTGGCGTCACCACTACGTTCCCTGGGCACGAGCGGTATGCTGTCTGTACCGAGGCCGCCACTGGTGCCCCCCTTACCACGTTCCCCCGGGACCCGGTGTCAGGCCTGTTCACACTTGACACCGTGACTTCCCCGGCTGGGACGTCCCCCCAGGTGGCTGCGTCTACTCAGGTTGCTGCTGCTTGCTCCTGTCGGTCCCTCACTCACCCGACACTCCTTTGGCACCACCGCCTTGGTCACCCTGCGCTCCCGCGTCTGCGTCACATGTCCCAGCACGGTCTCGTCCTTGGTCTCCCCGGTTCGTTCCCCGAGTTTCCCTCCTCCCCCGCCCCACCTTGCACGCCTTGCGTCGAGGGCCGGCTTCGCCGTGCCCCTCACTCCTCCTCGTTTCCCCCTACCGCCGCACCGCTGCAGACTCTACACATGGACGTCTGGGGCCCCGCCCCCGTCCATGGGCCGCGTCGCGAGCGCTTCTTCCTCGTGCTTGTCGACGACTTCACGCGCTACACCACCGTCTTTCCCCTGGAGCGGAAGGCCGACGTGCCTGACGTTCTCATCCCCTGGCTTGTCTCTGCTCGTGTCCACCGCGGTCTCCCTGTCTTGCGTCTTCACTCCGACCGTGGTGGCGAGTTTGCCTCCGGTGTCCTCGGTCGCTTCTGTCGTGCGGAGGGCATCACCCAGACGTTTACCCTGCCGGACTCCCCGCAGCAGAATGGGGTCGCTGAGCGACGCATCGGTTTGGTCATGGAGGTGGCTCGCACCTCCATGATCCATGCCGGTGCACCCCATTTTCTGTGGCCGTTCGCCGTGCGCTACGCTGCTCACCAGCTTAACCTGTGGCCGCACCCCCAGCGGCCGCAGGTTTCGCCGACCCTTCTGTGGACCGGGTCCCCTGGTGACGCGTCTGCGTTCCACGTCTGGGGCTGCCTTGCTCACGTTCGTGCCTCTGGCACGGACAAGCTCACTGCCCGCACCCTTCCCTGCGTCTTCCTCGGTTTCCCCCTTGACGCGTCTGACTGGCACTTCTACCACCCGCCGTCTCACCGCTTCTTTCACTCTCGCGACGTCACCTTTGACGAGTCCGTCTCCTTCTACCGCCGCTTCCCCCACCGTGGTCCCCCGGTTACTCCCCCCCTGTTCCTGGTTCCTCCCTCCCTGGTGGTCCCTGCCCCTCCCCCCCCCCTCCCCCCGTCCGGCCCCCTCTGGTGTGTCTCACGTCACCCCCCTCCCGTCGGTCGTCCCGGTCGAGGAGTCTTCTGACTCTGGTAGTCCCCCGGCGCAGTCCTCGCCGCCAGTCCCTCCCCCGCTGTCTCCACCTCCACCGCCTCCGCAGCCGCCGTCGCCACAGCTGCGGCAGCTGTCGTCTCCGCCGCCGCCGCCGTCGCAGCAGTTGTTGCAGCCGACGCCGCCGCCGCCGCCGCTGTCGTCGCTGCCGCCGTTCGTGGACTCTGGGGTTGCTGGAGTTGAGGTGGGTACTCGTCCCGGGGCTCCTGTCGTGGCTTGTCCCGGCGGGACTGGGGGTGGTACCGGCGCTGGCGGGGTTTCGGGCTCTGGGGGTGTCCCTTCTGGGGGTGCCGGCGTGGAGGGTTCGGGAGGTAGCCGTCGCGCAGCTTGCGGCCCTGGTGTTGGTGTTGTGTCGCAGCAGCAGCAGTCCCCGCCGGTGTCCGCCCTTCGTCTGCTCGGCCTTCCGTCCCCTGACCCTGCGCCTGTTCCTCTCCTGCCGTCTCCTCCTCTTCCCGTCTACGGCCCCGTGTTCCCTCCGCCGGACTCGTCCCCGGCTCGTTTTCCCCCTCGTTCCCCACCCGTGTCCCCTCCTCTGTCTCCTGACCCGACGCCTCCCTCTCACGTCTGGTCTCGCCGTCCCTCCCGTGCTCGTCCTGTCTCCCCCGCCCCGCGCTCTCACCCTATGTTGCTACGTTCCCACGCGTCTCGTCCTCCCCTCCTCCCGTCGCCTCCTCCGTCTTCTCTTACAGTTGCGTCTCCTCCTCTGTCTGACTTCTTTCGTGCTGCTCGTCCTCTTGTTCCTCGGGTCCTTGCCTCTCTCGTTACCGACCCGTCTGTTCCGGTTTCGAGTCTTGACGCCCTTGTCGCTGCGGTCGCTGACTTCGCCTCTACCCGCCGCCTTGACTACGCCACCGCTCTGGTCTCTGACCCTGCCTGTCCTCCGTCTGTCGGGGGTGCTCCTGCCCTCGGCAGTGACGTCCTGGAGGACCGCCAGTTCGAGCTTGCTTTCCTGTCCGAGGCTGCTCCCCATCTCTGTTCCATGCTGCTAGTCCCTGAGGGTGACCCAGACGCTTTCGACATCCCGACCCCTCGTACTTACGCTGAGGCGGTTTCGGGACCCTGGGCCTCTCAGTGGATAGCTGCCATGGAGCAGGAGATGGCATCTTGGAGATCCACCGGCACCTTCGTCGACGCAGTTCCCCCGCCTGGGGTGAACGTAGTCGATGGCCGCTGGCTCTTCAAGGTGAAGCGCCCTCCTGGAGAGCCGCCTGTGTTCAAGGCGCGCTACGTGGCTAGAGGTTTCAGTCAGCGCGAGGGGGTGGACTTCTTTCAGACTTTCGCTCCTACCCCGAAGATGACTACTCTTCGGGTTCTGCTACACGTAGCGGCTCAGCGTGACTACGAGCTTCACTCCCTCGACTTCTCCACTGCCTTCCTTCAGGGCAGCCTACACGAGCAGGTCTACCTGCGTCGCCCTCAGGGCTTCACTGGCGCCTTCCCTCCTGGGACCCAGTGGCTTCTGCGGCGCCCAGTCTACGGCCTGCGCCAGGCGCCCCGTGAGTGGCACGACACGTTGCGTGCTACCCTCGCTGACCTGCAGTTCTTTCCGTCCTCTGCAGACCCCTCACTCTTTGTTCGTGCTGGCCAGACTCCGTTTTACATCCTTGTCTACGTAGACGACCTGGTCTTCGCCACTGCAGACAGGGACGCACTGGCCTCCGTGAAGGCAGAGCTGCTGAAGAGACACACTTGCACTGACCTTGGAGAGCTGCGCCGTTACCTTGGTTTGCAGATCTCCAGGGACAGAGCCGCGCGCACCATCACCCTGACTCAGTCACACTTGGTGCGCCAGGTCCTTCAGAGGTTCGACCTTCAGTTCTCCTCAGCACAGCCCACCCCTCTTCCTCTGGACCACAGACTCTCCGCTCCAGTTCCTGAGGAGTCGGTAGATCCAGTGGTCCTTACGCTGAGCTGGTGGGTTGCCTCATGTACCTGATGACTTGCACTCGCCCAGATTTCGCATACCCTCTCAGCATTCTGGCGCGCTTTGTGGCCACAGGCAGACACCGACCTCAGCACTGGTCTGCCGCTAAGAGGGTTCTGCGTTATCTTGCAAGTACATCGGGCATGGGGTTAGTGCTAGGCGGACGCAGGCCGGTGGTCCTGACTGGACACACAGACGCTTCTTGGGCAGACGACGCCGAGACGCTCAGGTCTTCCCAGGGCTACTGCTTCAGCCTTGGCTCAGGTGCTGTCTCGTGGAGAGCTACCCGCTCCTCGTCTGTTGCCCAGTCCAGCTGTGAGGCTGAGATCTACGCCGGTGCCATGGCGGCACAGGAGCTCCGCTGGCTGACCTTCTTGCTCGCTGACTTAGGTGAGCAGCCTAGCTCTGCCCCGGTCCTGTACGCTGACAACAGGGCCATGATCCTCCTGTGTCAGGAGCCTCGACTCGAGGGCAGAGCGAAGCATATCCAGCTGCGGTACTTCCTCCTGCGCGAGCTACAGCAGCGACGCCAGGCTCGCGTAGTACACTTGGCCTCAGGTGCCAACACAGCTGATATCTTTACGAAGGCACTTGCGCCTAAAGATCATCAGCGGCACTGTGTACAGCTTGGTCTAGTTCCTGTAGTCTCTCACTTGCTTGGGCCTTGACTTTGTACTGTCCTATATATGTGTACACTCTGACTGGACTTGTGTCCTCTCACAGTGGTTGGACTAGTAGTGCCGCCCTGTACTTGTTCTTGCCTTGTCTGTACTCCTTCTGACTGGTCTTTTAGACCCTTGTCTCAGAGGCTGGACTAGTAGTGCCACCCTGAGCTGTTTTGTCATGACCTGCCCCTATGCAGTCTAGGGGGTGTGTCAAACATGTATATCTACTATATTTGCATAGACTGAATAGAGTCATGTCTTATATAGGGTACAACTCTTAGGAATATTCACATGTTCTCTCTCTTTTTATTTTTATTCTTCTACTCTGATACATACTGCCCATGATACCCTTGAAATCCGGGATGGGGGATCGGAAAAGCCAAATACTGGCAGGTGACAACGAAAGTAAATGAGAGCTCTGGCAGCGATACGACGTTGGAACGCTTGGAGGAATTCTCTACCAATCCCCAAAATGCAGAACTGAGAAAATCACCCTCTGTATTAGGTCTTCCCCGGACGTTAAGTGGTAAGTCTACATACACTTGGCATGGGAACTGACTCTTCCCATAAGGAACATATTTTTTGCTTGAATATTTTCTGATCCCAAACAATGTACTCATAAATGCATATTGATTCAACACATCTCCTACACTTGGCATGGGAACTGCCTCACGAAGCACACTCCCAACACTCATCCAGGCAGCCAAAATGAGCAATAACGGCACTAGCAGATCCAGGGCAGGGCAGCCATAGAGATGGGCAGCCATAGTTGCTCACAGCCCCATTTGGTTGACAGCAGAACAGAACCGGGCAGCTTGGGGCGAGAGCAGGTTTGCAGGCAGAGTAGAGCAGAAGTCCTCCGGGGACAGCTGACGTACCTCAGGAGCAGGCTCCTGAGGCGGTGGAGGGGTCTGGGGGGAGTGGGGAGAGCATAGGATAAAAAGAGTTGGAACCGAGTATTGAGAGGGTGAAAGGGGAATCAGTGCGGGTATGCATGATATGGATGGGCAAGGGCACAATGCGGATGCATGCATAACGAGTCACGCCTTTCGAACAAAGTGCACAATCGGAAAGAGAGAGAGAGAGAGAGAGAGAGAGAGAGAGAGAGAGAGAGAGAGAGAGAGAGAGAGAGAGAGAGAGAGAGAGAGAGAGAGAGAGAGAGAGAGAGAGAGAGAGAGAGAGGGGGGGGGGGGGAAAAAGTTCATGGGAAAATACACCAGAGCCATCACCCTCCAGCTCACCTGAGCCACACCCCCAGCGGATGCACCTGCAACAGCTCCCCCAGTGGCAGCAGTGGTGGCAATCTGAGCCGGCAGCAGCAACGGCACGGCAGCGAGGCCAATGCCCCCTATGAGCAGGTTGCGCAGGAAGCCCGCCTGCTCTCTGAGCCCCTCCCGGTCGGCCGCTATCACCTTCTGGTCCGCCTGTAGCGCTGCCATCGCCTCCCGCAGCGACGCCAGCTCCACCTGCAGCTGAGCCGCCTGTGCCGGTGGGGGGCGTGCGAGAGAGCGGGTATGAGGAGGGGGAGCGGATGCATGATGAGCCAGCGAGGGAAGTACCGGTTTCACGTAGCCTTGAGGAGTTTTGAACGAAGCAAGCTGGCGTATTGGCGGCAACGAGTTACTGCAGAGGTGACTGCTGTACTAACAGCTTGAGTGCGGTTTTGGAGGGGATGGATGACACGGGAAGGAAACGGGCAGTGGGGCGGGAGGGAAGATTTGGCTCGACTGGGGACTGAAAGGTGTGGCAGAAAAGCATGGATTTCTACTCCTAGATGGATGGCAGTTGTTTGGAGTTGGAGCGGCTGTGGGATGGCGTGACTGCCTGAGAGCATGCTCCTACCTGCACTGGTGTCAGTGGTGTGCTGAATTCGGACTGGAACGGAATGTTCAGTGGCGCGGGGACAGGGGCCTCAGCACTGTGTGGTGCAAAGGGAGCGGGAGAGCAGCAGGAAAAGGCGGAGAGGGGGGAGCAAGGAAGAAGCTGAGCAGTGAGCAATACACCATCAAAGCTGAGACAGCAAGGAAGAGGCCAACTAAGCAGACAGAGTGGGAAAGAGCAATGCAGAGGAGCACTCCAGGAACGCCTGCAAAGGAACACAACCCTTTCAATGGACTCCAGAAAGCAGCGCATCGTGTCCGCTGAACAGTGTAGGTAGGCTCAGACTGCTGAAGAGAGCCATCAGCATGGCTGCATACGCAACATGATGCAGATGCTTTAGTGCATGCAGCGAGGCAGCGAGGCAGCGAGGCAGCCAGGCAGCGAGGCAGCGAGCAGCTCTCACACAAACCACTCCGGTGTGAAAATTGCATGCCCTGCCACCTCAGCCTCTCGCACCACTCCGTCCACCCGTGGCATAGCTCCGCACTCGCACACGCCCCCTAAAGGTGAATCAGGGCCAAGCCTCCTTCACAGGAAAGGCTAACCAACGAAATCTCGCATCTGGGCTGCATCATCACCACCTTCACCAACCACCAGCCATCCCGCTAACCGCGCTTCTCCCAAACCCACTGCTTTCCCTTCCTTCCCCCCCCCACTTCAATCACGCAAGGCCCCACACGAGCGTGGCCTCCACCCTCTTCATTCTGAGGACTCTCCTTCCTTCCGCACACCATATCCACTCACACGAGCGTCGCCGGGTTGGGCTTGGCGGCAGCAGCAGCCGCGCGGGCAGGAGCGAAGACTGCAGCGGAGCCATTGGAGGGAGCGGGAGCGGACGCGGACGAATAGGCGGAGGGCGAGGAGGTGGAAGCAGAGCGGGTGGGCGCTGAAGAGGGGAGAGAGGGTGTTGCGGCACTGCACAGGGGGAAGGGACAGCAGCATTGGGGAAGAGAACAGAGGGGGATTGGGGGGGGATTGGTGCCAGAGCAGAGGGAAACTGTAGTTGGCTGCGAATGTGCCAGCAAGGGCGACGGGCAGGGGGAGTTTCAAAGGATTGACAGGTGATTCAGTCTGGCAATCATTACTTCCAGACAGCAGCCGGCAAAGCCTGCCCAACAGTTGAATCGCTCTCTTCACCACCTATCTAACCTCCTAAACTCCCTTCAACCTCCCCCTCCCCCGCTCCCGCTCCCGCCAACGATTCCTCATCCCCATCCCTCAACCATCCGTCAACCAGCAGACGCAGCAGCAGCAGCAGCAGCAGCAGCAGCAATGACTCACATGAGTGCGGCAACGAGCTCCTCCTTGGTGTTCCCCTGGACCCCTTTTTGCCGCGCCATGGCGCGAAGAGCAGCCAAGGGCGTCGCCTGCAGCCGCTTCTCCAGGCCCTGCGCTTCCGCCGCCGGCGCTGCCGCCGGCACTACCGCCGCTTGAGGGGCGCTGGTGGGCTGCGCGGAAGCGGCGGAGGCGGGCTGTGGAGCGGAAGACGCGCTCCGCTCAGTGGCGCGGCTGAGAGGAGATGAGAAGGAAGTAGGTACGGGAGATGAAAGAAGGCGATAACGGGGAGAAATGAGTGTAGGGCGGCGACGCGATGGGCGGACGGAACGAGAGGAAAGAGGAAAAGAGGGTTGTGTGCACTAGAGGATTGAGGAAGAGCGGGAGCAGCGGAAAAGACGAGAGTGGATGAAGGGAAAACGAAGACGGAGAAGCGGAAGCAGGATAGGCAGTTCCAAAAGGTAATTGAGAAGCAGGTTGAAGCAGGTCGAAGCAGGTCGGAGCAGTACGGAGCAGGTCGGAGCTGGTCCTATGGTTGATCTATGTGTCCGCGCCATCATGCTTCAATGAGGAATCACCAATCACTTACAGCAGATCTGAAACGAGATCCGCCTTGGAGCCGCCCCCGGAAACGCCCCGAGCGCGAGCCATGGCGCGCAGTTGCGACAGCGGTAGCGCCTCTAGCTGCCGCCGCTGCTGCTGCTGATCTGCTCCTCCCGCCACTGGCGCTGACGTCGCCACCGCTGCCACCACAAGCGCCGCTCCTCGCGGAGCCACGCGCACCGCATGTGGCGGAGAGGACCTGCGAGAGTGGAAGGATGGTGACGGAATGGTGAAGGGGTGACGGAATTAGCGAATGGGAGACAAACGACTTTGACACCAAAAGTCCCAACGTCATCGCTTTTCGCAGGGTCTAACACGAGTGGGGTGGAAGGTGCACCCCTGGCCGACGCGTGGGAAAGTGGGTGACGTAAGAAGCAGGAAGCAGTGGTGGCCTGGCGAGATGGACGATGGCTGATGGCGGTGGGGAGCCTAAGCCAATGAGGCTATGCAGCGGTGGCGTACCTTAGAACCTCTCCTCTCGCAATGCTGGGGGAGACTAAGCCAGTGACTGCTGGAGACGCGAAAGAAAGCCCGCTGGACGCCTGAGACACAAGGATGGGAAGGCCAGGGTGAGGGTATGAATTCGAGAAATGGACGTAGCGACACTGGTTGGGCGGAACTTGTTGTTAACAGGAGGGATGTAGGGCAAAAGAAGAGGCTGGAAGTTCCATATCATTTCAACCATAAACGCAAAAGAAACAGCTGCGAAACAAAGAGCGTGGAACTATGGATGATGCTTACCGCAGCCAGTGATGAGCACGCCATTGCTATGTCGATGGATGAACCACCAGCAAGGCAGTAACTAGCAAAGGGGTGTCAGAAGGCTTTAGTATAGTAACAGGAGATGTTAGGAACTTCCAGGAAACTGATAAGTAGCTGATAAGTCCTACCAACACCGAAGAGGAGATGATCAGAATGAGTGTCACTCTCGCTTTACCATTCTCGCTTTCTGATGTGGCTGGTGTGTGGGGGTGCTGTGCCGCTGAGGAATGTTGCTGCTGCTGATGATGATCTCTAGGGCGATCTCAAGCAATGCCTGTGACGAGCTGGTTCGGTTCAGAGGTGCCTTGCACGCACCACTGATTCGGTTTGGATGTGAGTCAAAACCAGCACCCTGCCAGCCGATTAGGCTCGTTTGACCTGTGAAAGGCGGGTTTTGGCTAAGGCTTCGACGAGCCTAGCGAAAGGTCGTGAGGGGCCGCGGGATAACCGGTTCGGAAAACATTCGGCGACAAATGACGCTGATACTTCAGTTGGCAGCTAGGCTTGAAGATCTCCCTCCATTTGTGGGAAGCCACGTGGTTGCCTACCTGGTGCTGATTTACTACCACCCCATGCCCCAGACATGTGATTCCTCCATGTTTGTGGCTGACAGAGCCATTGATGAACTGCTAGCTGGCGATAGAACCCCCTGTATGGTCACATTTGGTCGGGGATGGGACGATGAACGAGTGGCGGTGGGTTGAAGCCAACATGTCCTCACCTTGGTCGTCCACCGTGGCAGGCGGGTATGGAGAAAAGGCCACCAAAGGTCTTATCTATTGCTGTTCCTTGCACTGTACTCTTGGTTACAACCATCAGTAAGGGATTTAGCTGACATCTTAGGTAAACGATAACCGCAGACGGTAGTGAGTGTTTTGTCTTGGTTTTGTGGTTTTCAGAGAGTTGCAACGGGTTAAGACAACGCATATGTCGTCGACAAGGTAGAATTCCATCGATTTCTTGTTATAAGAGATGTTGGGGCCATGTAATATAGAACAGACGAACAACTGACCTTGAGCATGTGAAAGTTTCATTTTGCAGCTGAAATAGGACAAATCGAAGCAGTAAAGCATGGCCAATAGTACAGGTGAGCTGTGGGTGATACAAGTTTGGTAACGCGTGCGTTTGGTACTGCGTACGTGATTGAGTGATTGAGTAAGCTTGCTTCTTTACGAGCTATGGCATCGTCTTCACTGTTTATGGTGAAGCATAGCATGTCAACTTATATATTTTATACATAGTTGTATAGGCTTGTTAGGTGTCCTATAATACTGATTTCTATTGTAAAGGGTACAATACCCTTCTTGTATCTCTCTCTTGTCTAGTCACTTTTACTACCTAGCTAAAACCTCTCCCCATTCTCATGCCTAGCTAGCAACATGACACATACATTTGAGCTATTTAGGGGGTGGGGGGTGGGTTACTGGAACTTCAAAACATAGAAAACAAAAACATGGGCGAATCCAAACAGTAAAACAGGGGCAATGCTTTTTCACAAGACCCAGAGAGCCTAAGGGCGAGTCCAAATAGTTCACACTCATTTAATTTGGCCAAAAGTAACCCGAAACTTTAACCTCGCGCTGAGTTCGCGAGGATAGGTGCGCGAATTTGCCGTAACTCGGGAAGGTCGACGCATGTGAAGCTACATGTACCCAAGTCTAGATCCGTTTACAATTCGGGTTACGGTAGGTGTGCGTATGGGGGGCGGGTGGACACGAGTGGCAATTTAGGGTTTCGTCAAGGCGGGCTTGACGAGAACTAGGCGAATTGACGAAAACTTCGCGTGGCGCAACGCCAAATCGCAAATTCCAACCAGCCCAGCACGAAATATCTGTCTCGCAGCTTCAGCATTTGGTAACTGCGATTTGGGGCGTCTGAGGCGAACCGTTATTTTTCCGACACCCAGTTGGCGCCAGTCTCCATTTCTGTTCGCAATGTGGGACGCGGTTTTGGGGGAAAACGATTTCGGGATAGTTTCCAATTTTTGTACCCGAGTTCGTAAAAACGTGTCCAGCCCCAATTGAACTAATTGGACCCGCCCTAAGATCCAACGAACGCCTTTAAAACTATCTAAGAGGTGCTGGGGTTCATTATATCCATCCACCAATGGTTGTCGGGCTAGTTGTATCTAGTGACATCCTTAAGATTCCAGTCTTTGTTTTGCATTAGGGTACAATGATAAAACCTTCTGTATTCACTGGTAAATACAAAGTATGTTCCAGCATACTGAAATCATTTACTTGACGTAGTAGGGCAGGTCCAGAACGTAGAGGAGGATGTATGCCCAGGCAACACCAGACAGGCCACCGAAGAAGAAGCCGCCAGCGAACGAAGCCCAGCCGTCAGCAGTCTGCACACAACATTCAAAACAACGTGAGATTTAGAAAATGTCCCGGCAACTCAATCCCGACTACCTAGAGCAAATGCCTAATTTACCTGGAGCTTGTCAGCCTCCTTCGAGCGGCCACTGAGGGTCAGGGTGGACCCGGTAGAGGGAGCACCCTCCTTGAACGAGGCAATGCCGTACACGGTCAGGCACATGGACAGGATGGTCACCAGAGCGGCAGCGCCAAGGGTGCCCGCGAGTGGGCCAGCCTCAGTGCCGCGGAGAGGACCAGTCTGCACATTAAGAAACAATGAAAATTGAGAAGACGGAAATGACGCTCTTTCTGGGCTGCATCCATAGAGCTTACTTAGTAAACAACGAACCACACCATTCACTTACGCAGACGAAGGGGCCGACGAGGAGGTAGCCGTGGGCGAGGCCGACCTCAACACCGCGGAGGAGGGGGTTCACACCAGTGCGGTAGCCGGGGAGGTTGGACAGGAACCAGGCAACCAGGGGAGCAGAGGTGACGGGGGTCTCGAGCCCACCGACGAAGGGGTCGCCATTGAGGGGCTCAATGACTTGGTAGTTCTGAAACAACAAAAATAAGTTCATCCTTGGTTTCAGTTACTCTGTTTACAACATCTAAGCGGACCGCAGTAGGCATGGGAAATCCTACCTGCTCGGCCTTGACGGCAAGAGTCTTCACGACAGGGGCAGCACGGCGGGCAACAGGGGCCAGGCCGGCGATGTTGCCAAAGAAAGCCCTCTTGCTCTGTGCCTTGGACAAGGCAACAGCAGGGGCGGCGAGGATAGCACGGCTGGCAACGGCGGCGGCCATGGCTGCAAGAGGAGAGTTGCTGGTGCTGGATTCCTGGGGTCCTCACAGTTCTGTTGGCAAACTCCTTTCGCTGCACCTGCTGCTGGGTATATCGGATGACCCTGTTTCAGGCTGGGGAGCGTCGGTCCGGCAGCTGGGAGATCCCTGGCTGAGGATTTTCTCCCCTGGATGGTCTGCGGGGGATGGTTGTTGTGCTGATTCGACACTGCCTTATCCGGAGCACGGATCTTGCCGCCAATGCGAAATTCGCTGAACGAATCAGGCGCACCGTCCCCACCAATCCCTTTGTTCGAGCTTCCGAAATGTAATTCAAGGGGGCGCATTGCAGGAACTATATCGGAGATAGTAAAGAAAGTTCTAATTATAAATCATCTACATTTCTCTTGTCCAGGGACTTATGTTAAAGTCCTCACTTTTCTTTCCCTCTTTTGTAACCTTTTAAAATTTCCTAAATAATATGGGATGAATTTTATATAAACTTTATAGCATCCAATCGTATAGTAACAGTTCAATACAACTTGAATGCCTCATATGTGGCTCATTCAAACTCTAAAATCTAGGGAAATCATATTTATGAAAAATTATAGGCTATTTTCACAAGATTAAAATGATGTGTCAGCACCATGATTCCTTTCATGCCAATTGACGGGCAGTGAGGAGGGTTGGTACTTGATAACGATTAAGAGAATTTACAATCATATGGAATTCAGCAGATGCCCACAAGCGGAGAGCTCTGTTGGGAAGTCGGCCATCCCATTCTCTGGTGATCAGACTGCTCTTCGGATGATCTGTCTCCTCAGTGCTCATCACCTTCCCTGTCCAGCCTCGTCTCGTTCGTCCTCTGTCCACCCGTCTTCAACCTCCTTTTATCGTAGGGGTCTGTGGTCGATTGCCATTCGCGTCTTTCGGCCAACCCATAGCCTCCTTTCGCGTCTTGAGATACACCTGGGGTGTAACCAGCACGCACTGGTGCACGACGAATTCAACGGATTGGCGAACGCCTAGTGCCGTTAGCGAAGGCCGGCATGCCTCGCAGCGTCACCGTGGCTGCCGTTCAGTTCGCCTGCACGGATGATGAGGCTCAGAATCTGCAAACTGCAGAGAGGTCCGGATCTGCTAGCCCTCCTCCACTCCTCTCCTCCTCTCCTCCTCTCCTCCTCTCCCCCTCTCCTCCTCTCCTCCTCTCCTCCTTTCCTCCTCTCCTCCTTCCCTCCTCTCCTCCTCTCCTCCTCTCCTCCTTTCCTCCTCTCCTCTCCTCCTTCCCTCCTCTCCTCCTCTCCTCCTCTCCTCCTTCCCTCCTCTCCTCCTCTCCTCTCCTCCTCTTCTCTCTTCCTCCTTTCCTCCTATCCTCTCCTCCCCTCCTCCTCCCCTCCTCTCCTCCACCTCCGCCTCCCGTCCTCTCAGTTTCCCCCCTCCACATCGCTCCTCACCCTTACCCCTTACCCCGTACCCCTTCGCCCTTCCCGCATATTTTCATGCTTTGTGATCTCCCCCTTTCCCTCTCTCTGCACCTCAAATCCTCCCAGGCTAGTCCGCGTAGCACATGCACGCGGTGCCAACGTCATCCTGCTGCAGGTATGCGGGGGCTGCGATGGTAGGTGGTAGTTTAAGACACGCGAGCAGCACGAGCAATCCTACCCATTATGATTATCCGCTTCACCCAACGCACCCTCTTTTTCGGATCCGTTCCTCCGTTAACTCTCCCTCCCTCCTCGACTGTCTCTCGCTTCCACTTACCGTTTTCCGTACAGGAGCTCTTTTCCGGGTTCTACTTCTGCCAGGCGCAGTGCGTGTCCAACTTCCAGCGAGCCAGGCCCCGCCACGAGCACCCCGCGATCGCCAGGTGATGATGACTAGTGGCCCATGGGGCTCAGGTGAAAGCCGGGTAACATATGCTTTGAGCCAGCTTGAAGGTAGGGGGGGGGGAGCAGGGGGAGATTGATGTACACTCCAGTGACCAAGACTGGCTGTAGGGGTTGGCTAAGCTCCATTCAATCCAATTTCCCTTCTTTTTCTCATATGATCATTTTTTCCTGTGGCATTCTCATCCCGCACTCCCATTCGCCTCTACTCCCCGAACCCCCTCCGTCTCCGTCTTCTTTTCGCTCACCACGCGCGCTCAACCCCTGTGAACGGTGGCTTCAGGATGCAGGAACTAGCGCAGGAGCTGCAGGTGGTAATGCCTGTGAGCTTTTTCGAACGCAGTGGAGGGGAGCAGGGTAGCAGCTCTGGTGGCGGTGGTGCTCCTGCTGGCACGGATGCTGCCGCTGCTGCTGCTGATGGTGGTGGTGGTGGTGAAGGTGGAGGTGGTGATGGAGGTGGTGGTGGTGTGGCTCACTTTAATTCGCTCGTGGTGATTGATGCGGACGGCAAAGACCTTGGGCTGTACCGCAAATCGCATATACCAGATGGACCAGGTGCGCATGCGCGCGTGCACACACACACACACCCATACACGCACACGCACACATGCACGCATGCACGAACGCCCGCACACACAGACACACAGACACCAGTACACGCACACACGCACGCACTCATGCATGCAGGTACAACACACACGCAACTCTATCTTACATACACACACACTAGAGTCATGCTCAGCCTGCCAGATTTTCTTCGTCAGCTCCATCCATGTTGCTACTCTGTCTCTCCACATGTGCTGCTGCAGGGTATCAAGAGAAGTTCTACTTCTCCCCAGGGGACACAGGCTTTAAAGTAAGGCCTCTTCCCTAACAACGCCTTCAGTACTACCAGTGGCAATGAAACGCATGAGGTCATCGTGGCACAATGCCGGCAACTGTTAATCATATGTCTTCTACGCCACTGTTATGACCGCCTTTTCCTCGTCGTTACGTCTGGCCCTTGGCCTCCTTGACTCCATTCAGCCACTTTCCTTGTGCACGCTTGCAGGTCTTCAAAACACGATACGCTAGCATCGGCTGTGGTATGTCCCACCACCTGTAGTACATATAGCTGCTTCATTCTTGTATTGCGCAGTGCCGTCTTCCCTCAGCTGTCATCTCGGTCATCTCAACACCCCCCCCAGCCACTCGTACTCATACAGCGAATGAGTTTGCCACGTGCCTCACCACCATCCCTCTCGCAAGTGCCATGCTCTTGCCATCTCACCTCAGTCCCCCCAATCCCTTCCTATCTAACTAACTCCCTTCCGCATCCCATGCACCCCCCCCACTTTTTCCCCCGCTCCCTCCCCCACGCCTTTCCCCCCTCGTCCCCCCGCCCCCCCAGGCATCTGCTGGGACCAGTGGTTCCCTGAGGCAGCGCGGGTGATGGCACTCAAGGGCGCGGAGCTGCTGCTGTACCCCACAGCCATAGGCTCGGAGCCGCATGACGCCTCCATCGACTCGCAGCCCCATTGGACCACTGTCATGCGCGGCCATGCTGCTGCCAACCTGGTGAGCTGTCCTTGTGGTAGTAGGCGGGATGTCTCGAACCTGATCCGTTGACTCGTACCCTCGTGACATAAGCCCCACTGCACCGCCGTCATGTGCGGCCACGCTGCTGCCAACCTCGCCAATATCATGACACTCGTCCTACCCTCTTGAATCAGCCCGGGCCTGGGATGGCTAGGTGTGGGATCCCCAGGCTTGGCCACGATGGGATGTCTCGGATTGCTTGGCTCGGAGATCTACTCGACTTCCTGCTCTCCTCTCATGGGCGTGCTTGACATGTGATAATCTGTCTGTCTTTTTTATCCTTCGCGTCCCTTCCAATCATGCTGGTCACAGATGCCTGTCATCGCATCCAACCGCATCGGCACGGAGACCATTCCAACAGAGCGTGGTCCGAGCACCATCACCTTCTATGGCTCCTCCTTCATCGCAGGTTCGTGAGGCCTCCTTCTCCTCCCCCCAAATGCATCCTTCCATTTGCCGAATTCCTTCATGGTTCAATCCGGCAACTCCTCGTTCGCCCATTTATTGTCGTGCTGCTGAACCTTTATTTCATCCACAGGATCAGTTGATTGGTACAAACTATGGTAACGCTCCCTGTTGCATGGCATAGTTCCCTCAACCTCCCTCGCCTCTATCTACCTGTTCTACTCCCTATATCAGGTCCTACCGGAGAGGTGTTGCGGCAGGCAGGGCGAGAGGAGGAGGCAGTAGTGGTGCACTCTTTTGACTTGGATGTGCTGTGGCAGCAGCGCATTGGGTGGGGCATCTTCAGGGATCGCCGACCCGATCTCTATTCTCCCTTGCTGTCCCTGGATGGATCCTCATGACATGCTGTTCCATGCAATATGCATTGTACCTGTCCCCTCTACAATAAAGACAACCTTCCTCACTGTACATACGGTTGATACAAGAATGTAATAAAGGCACAGTGGAGGGTCGCCCATTTTATCTCAAATATTGTGTGGTATTAAGTGCGCACTTCCTTTTGCTGGTTTGGTTCCTAACATTCAATAGTTTGCAAAGATATAAAGATTGGCATGTTTAGAGATATTTTTTCTTGCGGGTGATGTGTACTGTTTGCGATTTTGTTCCGAAAGACTCACTGAGTATCTCTGTAACGCAGATGGAATCTTTTTCTTGCTCTCAACCCCGTTGGCAGGCGGAGGGGCGCCGTGACAGCTTTTTGGCACTGTGTAAGACGGTGCAAAACAGTGAGTTACAGCACCGAGGAACCCGGGGCGCGGTGCGGTCGCATTCAAGTCGTGGATGCCTCTCTTGGGGCCTTGGCTGTCGCCCTCCCCGCAAGAAAGTCGGGGAAAGCTGAGGTTCTCGGTCTACCGCCCTCTCCCCCTGTCCCCTGATCAATCTGTGATTTGCCTGGCTGTGGCCCACTCTCACTCCGCCACGGCAGCGTTACGCGCAAGATTGATTTCCCCCCACAGGATTGTGCGTGATTCAGTGCATCCGCGCTCCTTCTCTGCCCCCTAAGCGCCGTGTCGGTGGCGCTCCGCCTTCAACCTTTCCCCGTCAGCCCCCCAGCTTTCCGCAAGCGTGACAATCCACCTGGCCTCCTTCCCCTGGGGGTAGTGCACGCTTTGAAGTGATACCGTACGGTGCCAAAGTTTCTAGAGCGGTATAGGGTCTGTACAATGGGTTTGCTTGACTTCCTCAAGTTGTTCGGTAGAAAAGTTTGACATCATCCTAAGCTGTCCCCCAGCCACATCACCAGCTCCTCCCCGCATGTCTCCGCCCCGCCAGATTAGGGGCGTATTCTCGGTTTCACTCGAGGAGTCGTCAACCTGTCTAAACAATGCCAGATTTCACGGGCCAGTCGTTTTCTGATCAGGACTCTTCCTAGACATCAAGTTCACATGTTGGCCTCTCGGAAAACTCTCTGCTTCCACCAATTTCGGGGGACTTGACATTGCCCTTCTATGTGCATCCAGAATCCATATTGAAACCACAAGCTGGTAGCTCCGAGAGCTTTTGGAGCCGATTGATCTAACCAGGCAGAGCCAGGACCTCGAGATCTTGGCCTTAGCCCCTGACATGGGCCTGCCGAGCAGATAAGCCCGTCAGATTTCCATTGTTTCTTTTAGGGTGTATTATTTATTGGCGCCATCAATCAGCCGACAGCCGGTTGGGTGGAGTATTTGCGGACCCACCAACCACTGGAAGTAGCGCCATGGATCTCGTGTCGCCGCGTCGTGCGTTGATAATCTTGGCCCTCGTTGCGGTACTCGCGTGTACGACGGTGGCGCAAGAATACTGCTTCCCTTCCGACTATGCCCGTTTGTCCACAGCATGTGAGAGCCCCTTTCTCGCGCATTCTCCGCGTGTATGCTCTTGCTAGCGTAAACTTCCGCGCAGCCTCTTAAATGGTGTTTTTTTTTTCAATATAAATTTGATATCTTCAGCGTCTGAGGTCGTCGGGGGCCTCGCATCCGATACCTTAGAGATCTTCTTAAAATGGCCCTCCCTTCTCCTTCCTTATCTCAATTGCTACGCCGCTCTTAATGTCGGACATAATCGTGCTCCATGTCTTGGCATCTCCTTGAGACCTCGTGCTACGTCCACCACACTTAGAGCATAAAATTTAACTAGCAGAACTCGTGCAACCAAGTCCCTAAAAAATCCAGTTTTCCCGACTTGTCTCTAAATTCCCTTTCAGATTTTCGCACTATCGATTCGCCTCTATGCCGTTCAGCTCTCCTCCCCCGTCGCGTAACTGACGGCCTCCACTCAAGTTCCCTCGTTGTTTCCTGGTGCGTTCCGTTTCAACTCTCTTTAACCCGCAAGTGTCCTCCCGCATTTTCCCCCTCGGCGCAGGCACGGGGACGACGCGTCAGGTGGAGTACAAGAAGGTTCGCGATTGTAAAGACCCCTTCCCCATCCAGGAGATCCACGACGAGCCGTGCAGTAAGCCCCGCAGATGGTTGCATCTCGTCGCATCTCGTCGCATCTTGTCGCACTTCGTCGCGTATAGCTTCGTCGCACGACTCCTTGCACTTTGTCGCGCGTTCACCGTATGGCAATTCGCCTCTACCGGCTCCTCGCTCCGCCCAACTCGCTTGCGTACCCATACCGACTCGGGCCCGATTCGTCCGTTCTGTCGGTTGCTCCGTGTGTGTGTTCCCCCCTGCGGTCTGACTGATTACATCCGTGCTGTCTTGCCTGGCGCTGCGTTGCTCGCTCCCACTGGGGTTGGGTCGCGGTTGATGGCGTTTCGGTGTGGTGCGGTTTGATGGGATTTTGATGGGATGCGGTTTGTTGGGATGCGATTTGGTGGGATGCGGTTTGGTGTTGTGTGTGTACACCTGAATGCTTTGTCATGTCCCGTGGTGCCAGCGTGTACGCCCGAGGACTACACTCTCCAGTACAAGACCACGCCTGGGCCCAACTGCACGGAGGAGTTCGTTCCCAACGCAGGTACCCATTCACTCCCCTCCCGCACTGCTCTCTTTCCCCCACCCTCTACCCCCTTCTCCCCCCTCCCCCCCTTCCCCCTGTGTCACCCTCATCCCCTCCCGCGTTTCTCCCTTTCCTTCCTCGTCGCTTCCTCTCTCCCGTTTGCTAGAGCCCACTCATAGGTAGTGCCGAAATAGGGCATGGTCAACGCTCATCGGGTATGGGTAGCGTCGCTATAATCGAGCACCAGTTTTGCTGCCTTGCACTGCACCAGTGGGATGGTGTCCGCCCGTCAACCCTAAAGAATCGCACCAATCGCACGACGATCTCAAGATCTCTGACAAGCTTTTGCATGCCCTTTTTTGAAGCGTGTATTCACTCTTTCAAAGAATAGAGAACAGTCCGTTTGTGAATTCCTCTATATACCACTCTGTTTCCCCCCTCTCATCCCCTCCTCCCCACCCCCTTCCTCTGTGTGTGTGTGTGTGTGTGTGTGTGTGTGTGTGTGTGTGTGTGTCCACCCCCTTCCTCTGTGTGTGTGCGTGTGTGTGTGTATGTGTGTGCGTGCGTGTGTGTGCGTGTGTGCGTGTGTGTGTGTGTGTGTGTGTGTGTGTGCGTGTGTGTGTGTGCGTGTGTGTGTGTGTGCGTGTGTGTGTGTGTGCGTGTGTGTGTGTGTGTGCGTGTGTGTGTCCACCCCCTTCCTCTGTGTGTGTGCGTGTGTGTGTGTATGTGTGTGCGTGCGTGTGTGCGTGTGTGTGTGTGTGTGTGCGTGTGTGTGTGTGTGCGTGTGTGTGTGTGTGCGTGTGTGTGTGTGTGTGTGCGTGTGTGTGTGCGCGCGCGCGGAACCTCAGGGTGTGCCAGTGGTTCTGTAACTGGCAAAGTCAGCGTCGACCCCTTCTTCTGCGGTAAGCCTCTCCGCCGGTCCCTGCTGCCACTCACTCCCCTTGCGTCGCCCTTAACCTCGTCGCGGCAGCGCGCTTGGGTCTAGCGTGCGTGGAATCTCCTCGCGGTACCCACGATTTGACTAGCAGCGGAGAACATTGAAACCAATCTCTTGAGTCGACTCAAAACCTCGTGTGTGGCATGCTTGGAATCTCCTCTCCTCGCGGTGCCCACGATTTGACTAGCGGAAGAGAATATGGCAAGCTATCTCTTGCCTTTCCCTTGCAGATCGCCTCTTCCTGCACTCGTCCGTCTATCCTCTCTCCCCCACCTCCCTCCCCACCCTGCCCTCTCTTCCCCCCTCCGTCCTCCTCCCGGTTCCCTCCCGTTCCCCCCCGTCCCCCCACGCCCCCTCGTCCCTCCCTACCACGCGTTCTCTCCCCCCCCCCACCCCCCCACCCCACCCCCCCAGAGCTGAGCGCGGTGCCGTGCACGAAGGAGCACCTGCGCGTGGCGTACTCGCAGTGCCTGGGCGAGGCGGGCGTCACTGTCTCCACTGAAGAGGGCGAGAAGCCCGCTGCCCAGGCACGCGCTCTCGCCCACCACCGTAGCTCACACACATGCACGCACGCACGCACGCACCAAACATCACGTATCGATTTTTTAGGAGTGAGGCGCCTCGCATTGAGGCGCCTCGATAATAGAGTCCTCAGTGTGGCACATGCACCAAACACCTGATACCATCCATCCATCCATCCATCCATCCATCCATCCATCCATCCATCCATCCATCCATCCATCCATCCATCCATCCATCCATCCATCCATCCATCCATCCATCCATCCATCCATCCATCCATCCATCCATCCATCCATCCATCCATCCATCCATCCATCCATCCATCCATCCATCCATCCATCCATCCATCCATCCATCCATCCATCCATCCATCCATCCATCCATCCATCCATCCATCCATCCATCCATCCATCCATCCATCCATCCACGCCGTCAGTCTGTCTGTTCCTGCACGACCTGACCTTTCCCCCTTCCCCCTGGCCTCTTCTCCCCACACCCCTGGCCGCTTCCCCCCCTTTACCCCTGTCCCCTCCAGGTGATCTTCTTCTTCAACAAGTCGTGCAACCCATCAGCCAAGGGCTCCGCTCACCTCCCCCCCCTCAAGTACATTGCATGTGGTATGTACACTCTCCCTCCCTTCATCCTCCTAGTCTATCACACCCCTCCCCCCTCTCCTCTTCTCCCCCCCTTCCTTCCCGCTTCTCCGTTGTCGCCCTCTTTCCTGCGCCTCAAAGTATGTCTTTATCTGCTGCAAACACGTGCTCCCTCCTGCTCGTGCTGAATCCCTAGTTCCGACCTCGGTAGGCGACCCCTGAGGTGACTCTTGAGTCGACTCACAAGTCAAAGTCTGTCTATATCTGCAACCACATGCTCTCACCTCTCGCTCCTGCTAAACCCCTAGTTCCGACCTCGGTAGGTGACCTCTGAGTGGACTCTTGAGTCGACTCACAAGTCAAAGTATGTGTCTGTATCTGCAACCACATGCTCTCTCCTCTCGCTCCTGCTAAACCCCTAGTTCCGACCTCGGTAGGTGACCTCTGAGTGGACTCTTGAGTCGACTCACAAGTCAAAGTATGTGTCTATATCTGCAACCACATGCTCCCTCCTCTCGCTCCTGCTAAACCCCTAGTTCCGACCTCGGTAGGTGACCTCTGGACGTGATCTGACCTGGAAACCTCTGACTCCCCTGTGCGCCCTTGCTCCAGACGCCAAGTGCGGCCCTGGCACGTTTCTGCACGCTGACGAATGCAAGACATGCGCCGCAGGTGCGCTTCTCCACGCTTTTTGTGCTACCTGCTGCTCTGCTCATTGTACTCGCATGCTGCCCTTGCCAACACCCACCAGCACCGCCCTTCTCCCTGATCCCCGCTCCCTGCTCCCCTCTCCCCCTCCCTTCACCAATCCGGCTCTCCCCTCTCCCCTTTCCTCTCCCCTCTTCCCTCTCTGCCTGCTGTGTCTGTTACCTGCTCATTCTCTCTTCCCGCCCTCTTCCCCTGCGCTGCCCATCCTCTCCTCTCCCCGCCACCCCCCTCCCCCCCCCTTCTTCCCCCCTCCCTTGCGCGTCGTCGCCCCGTGCTGTGCCATGCTGCAGGCACGTACAGCATGGGGGGCGGCATGCGGCTGGACAAGATCTACGAGCTCGACAAGAAGTACTTCAAGGTGCGGTGGGTGGGGCTGGGGGGGGGGGAGGAGTGGATGGGGTGATGGGGAAGGGAGGGAGTGGGAAGAAGAGGGAGTGGGTGGAAAGTGAGACTTTTGAGTCGACTCAAAGGGTTCGTGCAGCATGGGGGGAGCCATGCGGCCGGACAAGATCTTCAAGTTGCGGTGGGGAGGACTGGGTGGGGTGATGGGGAAGGGAGGGAGGGAGGGAGGAAGGGAGTGTGTGAGGATGGGAGGAATCGAGGGCAAGAGGGATGACGAAACCGTGCAGTAATGTTGTGTTCCCCTGTAGTGCCTCACTGCCTGCCTCACTGCATGCCTCACTGCCTGTGTGTGTTCTTCCAATGCTGTGGTGTCCATCCATGTGATACTACGCATGTTTGCGTGTGCATGTGTGCTGTGCGCATGTGTGCATGTGTACAAATGCGTGCATGTGTGTGTGTGTGTTATTCCTTGCAGACCACATGCGAGTACTTCAATGCCACGGGCAAGCATACGTGCGAACCGTAAGTACATGCACCATGCTCCATACACCACGCACCATGCACCATGCACCATGCACCACGCACCACGCACCATGCACCATGCACCATGCACCATGCTCCATGCACCATGCACCATGCTCCATGCACCACGCTCCATGCACCATGCACCATGCACCATGCACCATGCACACCACAATAGATGATTCACAAATACAAAGGAAGGGCTGGGGAATAGAATGGAAACCCCATACATGGGAAGAGGAAGGGAAAGAGAGAGCGAGAGCTTGAATTGAAGCTGTGAATATGACATGCGTCTGACTTGCATTTTTTTGAGTCTGACTGATGGAAACATGCGAGGCTAGACTATCCGAGCACCCACTGGCTCTCTTTCTCGTGCCATTCATGGTGTGATCTGGCATGGCATGGCTCTGGCATGGCATGGTATGGCATGGCAGGTGGTACGTAGAAGATGGAGCGGTCAAAATAGGGGCGTTTGACGGCCCAAACGACTATCTGCGAGTGAGATGCTCTCTCCAGCATCTTGTCTTCGAACCCCCCCTCACTCGCTCCCACTCTTCCCTTCCTCCCTCCCCTCTCTCCCACCCCCTGCCTCCTCTCTCTCCCTCACTCTCAAACACACCCACACACACAGCATCGTGCATTCAACAATCCTTTCCTCTCCGCTCCCCTCCCCTCCACAATCCATTGTGCCCCCAGGACGAGTGCGATGCGGACCCGGACTACGACTGCCACAACAACCTGCGCGCCGTGCTGCAGATGACTGTGCGCCTCGTCAGGCCGGGGTGAGTGCGTGCCGGAAAGCGCCGGGGGGAGGGGGGGGCGGGTGGGTGCTTTCAGTGAGTGGGGATTTCAGAGGTGGGGCTCACTGTCCAGAGAGTGCTTGCCTGCCCGGGTGGGTGGGCGCTTTCTCAGGGAAGGGGTGTGAGTGCTGGTCGGATGGGACAATGGGATGGTTACTTGCAAGGAGTACAATGCGTGCGTGCTGCGACGGAGGGTTGCTAGTGGTTTGCCGAGTGATGGGTGAGGGGTGGCCGAGTTGGGAGAGGGGCAATCGGCTGTGAGTGGTGGTGGGGAGGTGGCGGTTAAACGGGATGAATGGGAATGGGTGGAGTCCCAGGGGGTGAGTCGAGTCCGGGTTGGAGGACGCGGGGCGGTCGAGTCTGCTGTCCTGTCAGTCAGCTCCCTTATTCACCACACTCTCCGCTTCCTTCTGTTCTGGACTTGTTATTTCTCGCCTGAAGTGATCGCTGTGACTAATGTTCTCGCTAAACCATGGTCTATTATTAACCATCTGCGCAATAATGCATGGCATGGGGCATGGCACGGGGGTTATGGGGCATGGCACGGGGGGTATGGGGCATGGCATGGCTTGGGGCACGCTATGGCATGGCATGGCACGTGATGGCATGATGGCAGGTACGTTAAGTTCAACTACACGGTGAATGCCGAGAAGGGTCTGGACGGGCTCTCCTTCTTCATCGACGTCTCAGAGCAGCCCGTCATGCCCCTTGACTCCTTCCAGGTACACGGCATGCTCCTCCGCACCTTCCTCCGCTACCTGGTACCTGGCCCTCCGCTCCTTCCACTCCCCACTACCGTAGCGAGTCACCACTCCCCAACCAACGCACGTAGGTGGTGCGCTACCTCTCTTTGTCCTCTTCATTCCTCTCATTCCTCTCATTCCTCTCATTCCTCTCATTCCTCTCATCCCTCTCATTCCTCTCATTCCTCTCATTCCTCCCATTCCTCTCATTCCTCTGGTTGCTGCCTCACTTCCACTCGAAACAGGTGGTGTTCAACCTGTCAGAGGCGGCCAACACCCACTGTCCTCTTGGTCCAATACTCACGACCCTCCCTGCTCGCCGCGCTCAATCTCTCCTTGCATCACCCTCTCCACCCTCCCCCCCCCACCTTCCCGCATTGCTGCCTCAGTTCCACCCGAAGCAGGTGATGTTCAACCTGTCGGAGGGCTACCACCACCTCACGTGGCTCTACTCCAAGGACCACGAGTTCACACGCGGCCAGGACACTGCTGCCATTACTGTAAGCTGCTGCTGCTGGGGATGCTGTTGGTGATGCTGCCGCTGCTGCTCCTGATTATGATGATTGTGGGGATGCTGCGGCTCCTGCTGTTGTTGCCGCTTCTGCTGTTTTGAGTCTCCTTTCCTCATCTCCGCGCTCCCCACCTTGGGCTCGTCACTCCCTCGTCCCCGTGCAGATGATAGAGGTGGACGGTACAGATTTCAACGACCACCGCTGCAAGCCCTGCGAGCCTGGCTTCTTCAGGTGGGGCTCACCGCCTGCCTGTCGCCCCCATGCATGCCTGCATGCCTGCCTGCCACCTGCCGCCGTCACGATCCCTCCGATTCACTCCTTCCTATGCCTAGCCTTTCATTCCCGAATTGCTCGTGAAAGAGCTGTCGCTGAGTTGTTGGTGTAACAGGGCTGCAGTGTCTTCTCCAGCTGGTCTGCCTTTCTGCTAACGCGCCTCTCTCCCTCTGTGTGCGTCTGCATGTGCCCGTGTGTGGCTCTGTTGCTGTCTGTGTGTTGTGTGCCCGTGTGTGTCTCTCTCTGTATGGCAGTGCCGAGGGCGCAACAGAGTGTGTCCCATGCCCCATCGACCACATCTCCAAGTGCGTTGCATTGCCCCTGATTCCTCTCTCTCTTTCTCTCTCTCAAGCGGTCCTTGGTATTGCTGAACCCTGGGTACAGGCCAGGCAAGGGGAGCCAGGTATAGAGACATGTCCCATGGGAGACTTGGCTAGTGAGTCCTAGGCCTACTGGAACCCCTCTTGGGGCTCAAGGATGGCGAAACAGTCCCCGAGGGACATGTCCGCGTCCGGGTCTCCTAGTGGGGGCCAATCTGTTGGTGAGGCCTCATTCACCTCCCAAGGTAAGACAGGGCTTGCCCCCTCTGGAGCGTAATAGACCAGCGCTGGCGGAACTGGCTGAGCAGTTTCGCCACTTGGTAGGAGCTGGGGTCCGCGTTGAACAGTCGCTGGGCTCTCTCTCTCTCTCTCTCTCTCTCTCTCTCTCTCTCTCTCTCTCTCTCTCTCTCTCTCCCCCTCTCTCCCCCCCCGAGCCTTGTTCACTCTGCCCTTTTATTCTCCCTCTCTTTCATTGGCGTCTTTTTTTTTAGGCGCCTAAAAAATAGACGCAAGTGCGTTGCGTTGCCCCTGCTTCCTCTCTGTCTCCGTGCCTTGTTCACGCTGCCCTGTTATTCTAACTCCCTTTCATCGGCATCCACTGTTCCCCCCCCCCCCCCCCCCCCCCCCCCCCCAGCCCCCTCTTCTGCTTTCCTCAAATTTAATTTTCGCTTTCTAGTTCTACCAGAATCTAGTTTTACCTTGTAGCCTTCTCTTCACCCGCAGTGCGCCCTCTCACCTTGCCAGTCTCAATCAACCATGCCTCATGTTTAAATTGCTTTGAGGCGCCTTGGAATTCGCTTCAATACATGCCACTAGCATCATCCATCCACTGCTCCCCAACACTTTCCGCACCCTGCCATCCCCCACCCACCAGGGGCGGAGCAGCGCAGTGCGAGGCGTGTCCTGAGAACACATATTCGCAGCACATTCCCCGCTCGCAGTGCTTCCCCAAGCCCAGTGAGTCTCCTCTCCTCCTGCCATCCCGCTCCCTCCCAACACCTCCTCCTCACATTTTCACGTGTTTCCTTAGTCCTCTTCTTTAGGCTCATTCCTCTGGCTCATTCTTCTTTAGCCCTCTTTCTCCTCCCTCTCCACTTTCCTCCCTCTCCACTTTCCTCCCTCTCCACTTTCCTCCCTCTCCACTTTCCTCCCTCTCCACTTTCCTCCCTCTCCACTTTCCTCCCTCTCCACTTTCCTCCCTCTCCACTTTCCTCCCTCTCCACTTTCCTCCCTCTCCACTTTCCTCCCTCTCCACTTTCCTCCCTCTCCACTTTCCTCCCTCTCCACTTTCCTCCCTCTCCACTTTCCTCCCTCTCCACTTTCCTCCCTCTCCACTTTCCTCCCTCTCCACTTTCCTCCCTCTCCACTTTCCTCCCTCTCCTCTCGTCTTTTCTCATCCTATACCTCTCTCTTCCCCTCTCCTCCGCTCTCCACCACCCCCCGTCCTGTCGTCCTCTCGTTCCCTGGTTCTCTCTTCCCTCCCCCCCTGCAGCGTGCAGTCTGGAGAAGCATGCGCGCTACACCTACACGCCGTGCATGTCCGCCACCAACACACGCACCAAGGCATGCGCCCCTCCCTCCTTCCCTCCCTCCCTCCCTCCCTCCCTCCCTCTAGTAGGGCGGGGTTACGGTTCTAACTTTTGGGGTTCACCTCCTTAATTGTCTCTTGATCCCTCATGCCTGTCTTGTCACCCGCACCTCTGTCCCTGCTACCGCCCTCCATGCCTTCTCCCTCGCCCCTTGTCTATGCCCCCTGTCATCTCGCCCCTGTTAATCCGTCCCATGCCAACCCTCTACTGCCAATACACCCCATGTCAACTCACCCCGGTCATCGCCCCCCTGTCATGATCTCATCCCGCCCTGGGCATGCGCCGTGAGTGCAGAAGTATGAGTGGGTGCAGCCCAAGGTGTGTGCGGGGGGGGAAGAGCTGCCAGTGGATCTCACCCAGACCTGCCGTGAGCACACGCCGCCCTGCCCTCCCCTCCCCTCCCCTCCCCTCCCCTCCCCTCACCTGACCTCCCTTGACCTTGTTTGCCCTTCCCTGCCCTCCCCTTCCCTTCTCTGCCCTCTCTTGTCCTCCTCACTTGTCCTCCGTTTTTTTTCTTACTTCCCGTGCCCTGCGATCCTCAAGGCTTCACCACGCTGCCCCTTCTATCGTCTCAGTCCTCCTCCACCTCTTCTCTCTGCATCCCACGTCACCGCTTCCCATGTTCTCCCGCCCCCCCCTGCCCCCCCTTTTTGCTTCCCTCCTGCCCGCCCCCCCCCCCCCCCCCCCCTTCCCCCACAGCGCCCTGCCCCTCAGGCCAATACTACGAGGACGCCCCAGAAAACGGCACCAAGTCCTGCGTTTTCTGCCCTCCCGTACGTCTCCCACGCATTCTTCCCCTTCTTAGCGCTGCTCCCCCCCATGCTCTGCTCCTTCCCCCCACTCGTGCCCTGATCCCCATACCCCATACCGTGATCCCCCCCCCATGCTGTCCTGCGCTCACTCCCTGCCTCCCTTCCTCCCCATCAGGGCACGGCGCGCGATGCCAACAATGAGACGATGGGCAACGTGTGTGTGCGGTGCGAGCCGGGCAACGTGGCGATCAAGGCGTTCAAGCTTGAGCACTTTGCGCGGCAGCACGGGGGCCTCCCAGAGGGCTTCACCACTGGGTGCCGCGGCCAGTGCGGGTCGCCCGGCTGGCATGTGGTCAACGAACGCCTCGAGTCCGGCGCAGGGCACGGCCAGTCCGTCTCGGTGAGCCTAGGAAGGAGGCGTAGGGAGGTGAAGGGAGGTGCAGGGAGGTGCAGAGAGGTTCCGTTTGAGTGGGGTGACGCGAGGCGGCTGTGGAGGTCACCTGGCTGGCACATGGTGAATGAGCGCCTCGAGTCCAGCGCAGGGCACAGTTAGTCCGTCTCGGTGAGCCCTACTGTGGTCTAGGGAGCTCTGTGTGCAAGTGTCCATATCCATCTGTCCATATGTCCATGTGTTTATGTGTGCATGTGTGTCCCCGAATCCGGCAGGTGTGGCTCAAGTACGAGGTGAACATGGAGATGGACGGCCAGGTCACCTTCAACTACTCAGCGCACCTGCCGCCGGGTGACACGCAGAGGGGCCTCTTCTTCTACGTTGACGAGGACCTCGTTGTGGCCAGCGAGGTCAGTCGGCTGCGCTGCGCTGTGCTGCACCGGGCTGTGCTGCGCTGCGCTGTGCTGTGCTGCGCTGGGCTGTGCTGCGCTGTGCTGTGCTGTGCTGGGCTGCCATGCCCAGCAATGCCGGTTTCCCTGTGTAGAACACCACCCATCATCCGTCACTGTGCTCCTTCCCACCTCTCCAACCTCTCCATCTCTCTGAACTCCTTTTTCCTCCCCCGTCCTCCCCTACCCCTTCTCTCACCCACTGCTTTCCTATGCGGTGTGTTGCATCTGTGCTATGCATGGTGTTGCATGCGCGTGCGCACACACCAGGAGGGGTACAAGGAGGGGGCATTGGATGCAATGGTGACAACAGACCCATGGGAGCTGAGGAAGCGAAAACACACGCTCATGTGGATGTGGATCATGCTTCAGCCACCTACCTTCCCACCTTGCCTCAACCTCTTTTCGTTCCTACCTTTCTCCCTTCCTCCCCCACCCCACCCCCCTGTGCCCCGCCCTGTCCCCTGCCTTTCGCCTTGCGCCCCTTGGCCCGTCGCACTGGGATACGCACACCCACCAGGAGGGGTACGAGGAGGGGGCCTCGGACGCAGTGGTGACAACAGACCCGTGGGAGCTGAGGAAGGGCAAGCACACGCTCATGTGGGTGTGGATCAAGCTGCAGGACCAGCAGAACGATACCACTGACGGCGCCATTATTTATGACGTCCTTGTAAGTCCGCCCGCCGCTCGTGTATTTATTTATATAGCATTGCTGGCAAGGCCCCTTGTGCGTTCATTCATAGTTGCTTTAAGGATGCTGCCCGTTACCGTTGCCCGTTGCCCGTTGCCCGTTGTCCGTTACCTGTTACCCGTTGCCGGCTGCCGGGTGCCAGCTGCCCGTGCCTCACATGCGGCGTGCTTCCTGTATGAAAGGTAGTATGGAAGATAGCGTCTGCTTTGAGGCGAGGGTAACCTTTTTGGTTTAGCATAGATGGTATTTGTGAGTGGGTTTGGTTGTAGCTCATTCTATACTCCCACTTGCATCACTCCTTTCTCACTGCCACCCTCACTGCCCCTGCCCCTGCCCCTGCCCCTGCCACTTCCTTGCGGCGTGGCAGATTGATGCGGCAGCAAGGGGAGGGGCGAGCTTCTGTGAGCCGGTGCCGGAGGGGGCTGAGCTGGCGGGGCAGGGTTCGTTCTGGACGGTGTGCCCTGCTGGGCTCTACAGCGAGGGGCTCACTGCCAACTGCACCGCGTGCCCGCCCAACACCTACAACGACGTGCCATTTGTACGTGCTGCTGCTGTGCATGGTGTGTGGTGTGTTTGGTGTGGTGTGCATGGTGCATGGTGCATGCTGTGCGTGGTGCATGGTGTGCATGGCGTGCACGGTGTGCATGATGTGCATTTTCTCTCTCGATCCCATTACTCCTCCCTGGACCCCCGCGCACTCCCGCACTCTCTCGCTCTCACTCTCACTCTCACTCCCCCATGCACACACACCCACTCATGCACGCTCTTTCCTGCACGCACACATTTTCCCCTGGCAATCAACATAGATCCAGCAGCTGTACACAGCAGGCCCCTCATCCCATCCCTTGCTTCTCCTGAATCTCTCCCTCTCCCCCTCCCTCTCCCCCTCCCTCTCCCCCTCCCTCTCCCCCTCCCTCTCTCCCTCCCTCTCCCCCTCCCCCTCCTCCTCTTCGCCCATCCCCCCACCTCCCTCCAGGGGAGCAAGCTGGCCTGTCAGCCATGCAGCCCCGGCACCACTTCCCTAGCAGGCAGCAGCGAGTGCACCATTGGGGACGTGGCTGTACCCTCCTCCTACTGCTCCTACGTGCCCCCCGCCTCGGAGGAAGACGCCAAGATCCCCCTCACCATCTTTGACCTTTCGCCGCTCTCCCGCCGCCACCCCGGGCGCATGTTCGGGCCGATTTTTGACAACCCCAAGGCCAAGAACCGGTCCGAGGGAGCGCTGTACTATGTGAACATGTGCGAGAGGGATCGGAGCAACCACACGTGCGCGAGTGTGCGCGGCGCACCGATGAACACGTACGCGTGCAAGATCAACCCTGTGACGAAGCTGGACAAGCGGCAGGCGCACCGCCTGGCGCACAACCTGGGGAAGAAGATCAATCTGTCGCCGCTGGGGCAGGGCGAGGCGCTGTTCCGCAGGGGCTTTGTGATGACGATGACGGGGGACACGTGTGTGAACGAGGACAAGGACCGCGAGCTCAACATCACCTTCATCTGTGACCCCAACGCCGGTGAGTCCGGTCCCATGCTAGCTGCCACGCAGTTGGTCTCTCCCCCCCCCCCCCCCCCCGCCCCTCTCCCCCTCTCCCCCCCACCCTTCCCCCCTGTTCCCCATTTTCAAGGGTCTGCTGCCCACTCTGCTACTCTGCCACTAGGTATATATGATTTAATGCTTCTATTTAAACCTCAGTACTTATCGCCTGTCTCACTGGATTATCTCACCGTTTTTTCGTCTCTTGTTGTGTCTCGTCTCCTCCCCCCTCCTCCCCCCTCCTCCCCCCTCCTCCCCCCTCCTCCCCCACCATCCAGGCTATGGCGCACCAGAGGCATGGACAGAGAGTGGCAAGAAGGCTGCTCTGGACCCGACGCTCAAGTTCCCCTCATGGGTGGACCGTACGGGCGCTGTCGTGCCCATCGGCAACGAGGCGACATGCACATACGACATGGTGTGGTACTCGGCGTTTGCGTGCCCCATGTGCACGTACGACGACTATGAGATGGTCACCGTGCCCAACTGCAAGGACAACAAGTTCGTCGTGTTCAAATACAAGGAGCCCAAGGTCGGTTGGGGCCCGGATTCCTCTTCACCTTTTTTGTTGCCAGCCCCAAGTGCATCTCCTCCCCTCCTCCCACTTTTCTCATCCCCCTCTCCCCCCTACCTCTGTCCTCTCCTCTCCTCCCTCCCCCGTTGCCACCTCCCTCTGCAGCTGTGCCAGCCCAACCCGCAGGCGCCACTACCGGACGACATTCCCTGCCAGCCGTGCGCGGGGTACGTGTCAAGCAACAGCACGTGTGCGGACGTCCACGGGCGCCACAACGTCACCTACATGTACGAGGAAGAGGGTTCCTGCAACCCTAACCTCAACGGCTCCGTCAAGCTCCCGTCCCCAGTCGTCGTCGGCCCCTGCGTGCAGACGCTCTATATCGAGTCGGCTGAGTTACTCAATGGGAAGTACGTGCTGCTGGGCGCGCTGGGCGGCGTGCTGGCCCTGGTGCTGCTGGTGGTGTGGGTGGTGACTTATATCAAGTCGCGGCGGCTGTATAGTGCGTACTCGAAGCTTGTGGAGGAGCAGGAGCATGGGGGAGGGGAGGAGGAAGGGGAGGGGCCTGGAGGCGGGGCAGAGTTGCAGGAGGTGGAGATGGCGGGGAATGAGAGGACGCGGTTCACACAGGATGAGACGGATGACAAGTACTGAAAGGGAAGGATGGATGGTTGGATGGATGGATGGATGGTTGGATGGACGGTGGATTGAGATGTGAATCACAAGGGGATGGCAAGTTGCCATGGCAACAGTGCGCATGTGGTATTTTTGGTGTTGGATATTGCGTCACTGACTACTGTAGTCGTACCAGCTAGGAGATGAGGATATTGTGAACCAAACATAGATTTCGCTGTGTGAATCACTCATTCTGGCTATCTAGGAGTGAACCCAAAGAGATGTGATGTCCTACATGACATGTCTATTCAAGTTCTTGACGTGTTTTTGTTAACACAAATGCCTACTAGACCAGCCTGACATCCTTAGTTCGGAGCAGTACATCCGACATCGAGCCTGCATAATCGAGGATAGCAACACCAATAATTGTGGTGTTATTTTCCGACATTTCTTCCTCCGCGCCTCGGACAATGGTCCGCGATTCGGCAGGCGCGACGAATCAGCCCGAAGTGTTTTTCGCACGGGAGGGAGGGCGACGACAACTGGAGAAAAGGGGAGCTCCTGTCTTGTGTGATGTGGTGGTGTCGTAGCGCAACGTAGTGTCGTCTCATGCTGTAGTCGTCCTCGTGTCGTCGTGTCCTCGTCGTCGCCATCACCCTTGAGAGATACCGTGATCGAAGCCGTAGTGTGCTTTCCGCACATTATGGCTCTCACTCCGCACCGCATGACCTGACTGACCATGATTTGCTTGCTCCTCGCCTACATTCCCTACACAATTGAGAACTTCCATCTAGATTTAGCATTTTCAGGAGCAAGCCTAATAGACAGTCGCTCGGAACGGATAACGCAGCCAAGTACAGAGGCACGGAAGACACGGGGCATGGAGGTCTAAATCTGGTTTTGAGCAGACGGCGCCTCGAGCGCCACATCGCCGTGAGCTGACGGACGGTCTCCTGCACACAGACGGAGGGTCTCTTTCTTCTGCGCAGACGGAGGGTTTCCACTGCGGAGGAAGAGGCTAAGAGGAGGATTCGGGAGAGGCTTGTGAGGACATCATGGAAACGCGGGAGCCACCGGCGGAGAGCACTCTTTCGGATCCTGCCGCCGCAACAAGCTCAACAATCACGGCGGTCGTTTCCCTGCGAGAGTCGCACGGAACGTTTTCGCAACCTCGCAGCTATCGTCTGTTACCACGCGCGCGCGTCGCCAGGCCAAGCTCGATCCAGCTGCACTCACTATCGCGTCGCAACTCCCCACTCGTTACTCATTTATGGCTGCTGCTACTAGTGGTGGTACTAGGAACCACGCTTCGTGATATTGCGCCAGCGAGCGCGTTAAGAGACGCGGCTGTGCGGCTGACTCGGAGCGCGAGGGAGCGGCTCACTTCCCTCCGAGTTGGAGGAGAGCCACTATGGCCGGCTCACGGGAAGAGCGAGACGCATTTATTTCGCAAGCTCGTGGTTCAGCACCCCGCTGCTGCTGCTGCTGGTAAAGCTGCAGCTGCCGCGGCCTCTGCTGCCTCTTTCACTGCATCTCCGTCTTCCTCTACTTCTGCCGCTGCTGGCGCCGGCGGCGATGGCGCTGCTACTGCGACTGCTGAAGCCGCGGGAACGGCGGTTCCGGAAGAGCCAGGGCCAGCGCCACTGGCGCGCGTCACACCCGGCTCTGGTGGCACATCCGGTGGGTCACCTGATGATGACGCCGACGACGACAACTCGCAGGCGCGGATCGACGCGTACCGGTTCGCGTTGCTGCAGAAGATGCTGTGGGAGCACGCGAAGCGAGCGCTCCTCGCCTCCATTCGCAGCGGCAACGCGACGGTGACAGGAGACGGTGGTAACCACACGCTTCCCGCGGGGTCTATCGTGGTGCGGGTGAGCACAGCCCCACCTCCGGACGACGCGTCGGGCAACAATGGGAGCGGGGGCGCGAGCGGGATCGCGAGCGGGAGTGCGAGCGGGAGCGGTGGAGGAAGTGCTGGTGGTGGGATGGGCAGTTCTACGAGTAACGGGAGAGATGGTGGAGATTGGCTTCACCAACTTGGGCGGTCTGATGGTGGTGCTAGCGTGGTGGAAGCGGCGGTGGTGGAACGAGGAGCGGTGGAGAAGTCGGGGTTCAGGTGGCACGAGTTCTCGGTTCCTCCTGGGTGCTCCTTCCAAGCGGAGGGGACGGGGACGGGGAGCAGAGGTACCAGCAGCAGCAGCACCAGTGGGCATTCATCCACTGCCCCTTCCTCCGCCCCTTCCTCCGCCCCTTCCTCCGCCCCTCCCTCTGCCCCTTCTCCCTTCCCCCCCCCCACCTTCACGGCGCCCCTTCTCCTCCTCTACTCCCGCTTCCCCACCTCTGAAGCTCCTAGTTTTAGCACCCCTTCCGCCCCCCTCACTCTAGTGAGCCCCCTCGTGGCCCTCGGCGTATTTGACCTCGCTCCTCTGCTTCTCGGCACAGGACAAGCCCAGTGGGGAGCCAGGGGCGGGGAGCAGAAGGAGGATGGGGAGGCGGAGGCGTGGGCGGTGGTGGCGCCAAGGGCGGCTGAGATTGCGGTGAGGCTGGAGATGGAGGGTGGGGGGGCACAGGGGGGGGCGCAGGCAGAAAGTGGCGAGGATAGCGCTGGGATCTACTGCGCTGTGATTGGCGGAGCTGGAGGAGGAGGAGAAGGCAGTGGTGGGGGTGATGGTGGTGGTGGGGGGGGTGGGGGTGGAGGTGGGACGGGAAGCATATGGCCGGTCTTGACTCCTGCAGTGAGCACCAGTGCAGAGAATAGCAGCACCACGCCCCAACCACCATCCACTGCCTACCTCTGCTCATCTCCACGCCTAGCCACCTACGTGCTGGCGCAACAGCCCCAATCCCCCACTCCCTCACCACACCCCTCCCCTTCTCCTTCGCCTGCTCCTTCCCCCACTCCGTCACCCTCCCCTTCCCCTTCCCCCTCCCCTACTCCCACCCCCATTCCCCCTCCAGCCACCTCCTCCTCCCCCTCCTCCGTTTCCTCAGCTCCAGTGGTTCTCTCTCTGGCGCTGGTGGCGGCGGCGAGTGTGCCGCTGCTGGTGTTCGCCTGCATTCTCGTGCACCTGCTGCGCCGCATGCGCCAGTGGGATGACGAGGAGAAGGCGGGCGCAACAGTGAGCTAGAAGAAAGGATGGAGGAGAAAAGAATCAGGAGGTTGCGGATGAGATGATTGATGGAGAATCTCCATAACAGCAGGAGAAAGCACTCATGCTGAGTGAGAAGGCGCTCATGCTGAATGAGAAGGCGTTCATGCTGAGTGAGAAGGCGCTCATGCTGAGTGAGAATGCTGCCGTGCCGAAGTAGGGAGGGGTGACTCCTGGCCTGAGGCGACGCACGCACGCTCTGGAGGGCGGGGGGGAGTGCTGGTTCAGGTGGGAGTGGAGTGGAGGTCTGGTCTGGAAGGAAATATTTGTTAAACTAAGCTAGGTAGGAGGGAAGCCATGGAATGGCGTGAGGTTTAGGAAGGAGAAAGTTGATGAGAGAAAAGAGAGTGGAGAACAGGGCTATCGGTTCAAGGGTAAACATCCGGAATGTCAGGTACATTCCGGGTCTTTCCCGCTGAAATCCTGATTCGGAGGGTTTCGGTTTCACAGACATCCTGACTGATTCCTGGTGTTTCCAAGGAACTCCCTGAGAAATCCGGGTTGCGCAAAAATTTATCCTGGCCATCTGACTGGCATGGAAACTACCCGTGCTGGAATTGCAACCCTACCCTCCCCCCCCCCCCAATCCCTTCGCAACCCTGACCAATTTTCCACACAATCTGAAGGTGCGACCTGTGGAACTTTCACAACTACAGAAGTGCAGGGCTGTCAGACTTATCACAACCCCTTAATATCACCTTAGCCAATTTGCGCACTGTCCCTCTAAGTTGTACGCATTTCTGTCGCGATGAAAGAAAGAGTCGAACTTGGTGTGGTGGTGAGGGACAGCAGCAGCAGCAAGCGTGTGTTCTGTATTCTTCTCCGTCGTTTCTTCAATCGATGTCCTTCCTCTCAGAAACTTAGGAGGCTAGGTCCCTAAAGTTAGGACACTAGCTTAGCTAGGATACTAGGAAGGCCGCCATGGAATGGCGTGAGGAAGGTAGATCTAGGAGTAGGCAAAGAATGTCGAGAAAGAAGGGGGTCGATTAGGAAGAGAATCAGGTACAAGAAGGGGAGTTATCCCCTCTACAGTAGGATGCAGTAGCACAACTACCAAGCCTACAATTATGTAAAATATAATTTGAACACTTCCTGCTTGTACTCGAAGTGCCCACAGGTTCCGTTGATATGTAGGGAGTCCCAAAAAACACTCTGAATTTCAGATTGAAGGTCAAAGTAATCATGAAATAAAGAGAGATTTCCCAGGGAATGCTGATTTTTCAGGATATTTAGTGATGCGAATCCTGAGACCGCTGGGGTCTTGAAAAACGAAGATTTAGCCCTGGTCAAGAATAAAAGAGAGAGGGATACAAGGAGGGGGGTTGTACCCTCTACAGTAGGTTTCAGTAACACCTACCAAGCCTACCAATTATAAAAAAAATATATAATTTAACACACCCCCTAGGCTTGGTAGTAACCAGGGCCCAAAATTGGTTTTAGGCCACTCTTTGAGATCAGAGTAGGAAAAAAAAAATGCCCTGACGGTCGGAGCTAAAAAAATTCTAAGTCTGATTTGGCAGGGTAAAAAAATTCGAAGTCTTTGCTTCAAGTGTAGAACTCTTTGCACCCTTTCTAGCCTTGGCCATTTAAGGAACATTTTACATGAATGAAGTGGGCTGCACTGAGGTGTGGAAAGAAGGGTGTAGCGGATTTGCGCGTGTTGGGGGAGATTGGGGGATGGGATGGGACGGAAAACGATTCTGGGGCGCGAGAGGGGAATCAGATTTACATGGGCGGCAGAGGGGCGGGAAAAAAACCATCTGCTCGTGATTGGTTGGGTGTCAGAAGGGCGTATACGACGTGACGTCTCTTGCTGTGGTGTGGAGGACTTAGCGAAAAAAAAAAGGTAGCGGGGGTGTGGTTGGGAGGCATGTCTCTTGTGGGGGACTTAGCCATTTCTGGGTTGCGAGGGGGTGAGGGAGCTATGACTCTGGCTACGACTTAGCCGAAATTGCTGGCTTGCATGGTGCGTGGGGTGGGAGGAATGACTCTGGCTGCCAGGGACTTCGTCGAAATTTTTGGTTGCAGGGTGTTTTGGGGGAAATGTTTCTGGCCGCCAAGGACTTAGTCGGAATCTCGGAGTTTCGATACCAGGGTAGTTTTCAGGACGCCCTGAAGGGTCAGGGTTCGGGGCCCCGCAACCCTAGTTTCGGCAGGGTAAT